TGAGGGGCCGCTCGGCACTTGTTGTCCCCTGGTGCCGCTGCCTGGCGAGCGGCTCGGAGCGGATTGGCGGCTGGGGTTGAGGAGCGAGGCAGGGCCAGCGGTGACCGGGGCCTCTCTCTTTGTGTCTTGCAGGCTCGAAACGCGGAGAAGGCCATGTGAGTGTGGCGGGGACACCGAGCACTGCAGTGGGGACACCGCTCAGGGCCTGGGCCCCCTCGGCTGAGGCTGCGGCCAGACCTGGTCTCACACATCCACGGTCGCTGGCCCTGGCTATACCTGATGTCACACATCTGTGCCTGCATGTCCCATAGAACTCGCTGTTCAGTCTCTTTTAAAGCACTGACAGTTTAATGATGCTTCTGGGTACTCAGTTGTACATGTGCTGGCCCAGAGGCAGTGAGAGTTGGAGGGCACCTGCACACATGTACCTGGTGCTCTGGAGCTCCTGTGGCTGTGCTGGATGGTTCTGTGCAGGAGAGACCCTGCAGTGTACTTGTCCCCCTGCAGGCTGGAGGATAAGTACCCTGAAATGTGTTAGAAATGACCCTTGTGGTTTTAGGGAGTTCCCACATTGGGAACAGAGGTGCCAGGCCAGATAGGAGGAATCAGTCAGCATTACTTTACTTGAGAATAAACCACTGAGGATTTCTAGTGTTGAGAAGTGGTTAGGTGGAAGAGCTGGAGGTGGTCAGTGACTGTGTTCAGGCCTTTGTTTTTGTTATTAAGTCCGTAATAAACATCCAGAGCAAAACTTGTTCCTGTTGGAATGTGGATTCGTGAAAGTAATTTTGCTTTCTTCTCTGTAGGACGGCCTTGGCAAGATTTCGGCAAGCCCAGCTTGAGGAAGGCAAAGTCAAGGTGAGATGTAAAAGCCCTGGAGGTTTGGTAGCTGAAGTCAGGGAGGAAGGCAGGCCTTGTTCAGAGCCCAGGTGTCCTGTGCTTGACTCCAGTTAGAAGGAAAATGTTTCAGCTGACTCTATTTCACACTCAGCCAGGAAAATTCTCCACTACAGTTTCTCCAAACCTTTTTTACTTTTCTGTTTCATATGCATATTATGCAGAGGTAATTTTTAGTAAAAGGTAGAGCCTTTTAATAAAAGGTAAAGTTTTGGGGAAAGGGACAAAATAACTGCACATAAAACCCTAGAAGCAAGATGATGCATTAGTTTGTGTAAGCAAGCTGATGGAATGTGAAGAAGGTACTCTGTATAAACTGGAAAAAATTAAATTATTTAGTCGTAGCAGTTGAGGAAAGCTTAACCTTAAGGAGGTGGTATGTGCTGGAAATGGTAAAACTGTCCTGAATGGAACATTTGTTGTATTGGAGAGGATTTTGGGATATTTTGAAAAAAACAGGTGAGAGATTTTGGTTTGGATAAAGTGGATTTAAGTAGAACTTTATAGTCTGTGATAGTTTAATTTGTCAGTGATGTAAATCATTATTGTTCTCCACTTCCTAACGCCACTCCACACACTTTCCACTCCATGGGAGCAGAAGGCCCTGGAGCTTGGTAGCATAGTTTGGCGTCAGTGGAGCAGTAAAGGCTGTGTGAAATGCTGTGTGTCAGTGCTCAGCTGAATTTGATGTGTGTGGTTTTCTGTCTAACAGGAGCGAAGGCCTTTCCTTGCATCAGAGTGTAATGAGCTGCCCAAAGCTGAGAAATGGAGGAGACAGGTAATGTCAACCTGTGGATTTTCTAATTCTGTAGGAGGTAGAACTTTACACTTCCTTTCTCGATAGCCTGCTTACAAAGGGTTTTCTACACTTGTCAGTATCCTGACAGTTAAATCACAGAACATTTTCTAAGACTATATAGCTCAGTGTTCAAAGTAGCTCCTATCATGTATGGTTGCCCCAGGGCCATGTCCAGCTGAGTCTTTAACATCTTCAGGGATTGAGATTCCAGGTGTCTATGGCTGCTGTTCCAGTGTTTGATTATCTTCCTAATGATTTCTCTCCCCTCAAATTTAATCCGAATTTCTTCAGTTTCAACTTGTATTTTATTGCTACTTGTCCTATTGCCATGCACTTCTCAAACAATCTGGCTCTGTCTTCTCTATTCCCCCCACTGATGTAGAAATGAATTTCTGTGTTCTTATTTGACTAGATCATTGGGGAGATTTCCAAGAAAGTGGCACAGATCCAAAATGGTAAGATTTTTCTAACTGTGTTTTATTTTTTTGAGTATCCAGTCATAAGCAGTTAAAGTAAAAATCCCATTTCATGTGAACTACGCTGTTTCCATTGCATAAATTCTGCAATTCCTCTGGTGTTTCTGTGAGCTGCCTGATTTGTTGTTTTTTTTTTTTTCTCTTTAACAGCTGGATTGGGTGAATTCAGAATTCGGGACCTGAATGATGAAATAAACAAACTTCTGAGGGAAAAAGGACACTGGGAGTACAGAATAAAGGAGCTGGGAGGTCCTGATTATGCTGTAAGTGTTAAGAATGTGTTGTACTACGTGGTTCTGCTTACAAGTGAAGGGATTTCTGAGAAAAATATGTAACATTTAGTTACCCAGGGATGGCTTGGCCAGTGTTATTTTTATTCAGCCCCTAAAATGTCTGGCTGTGTTTGGAGAAAGTTTTAAACTATGAACTCTGTTTATTTTCCAGAGGATTGGCCCAAAAATGTTAGATCATGAAGGGAAAGAAGTTCCAGGAAACAGAGGCTACAAGTACTTTGGGGCTGCAAAGGACTTGCCAGGAGTTAGGGAACTTTTTGAAAAGGAACGTAAGTAAAAAGCAGTTCTTCCTAGACATGAATCTGTGTAGGAGAATATCTTGAATAAAATGCTGTTGTTGTTTGTGGGGAGTGCTGGTAACAGCATTTCTGAATGTCTTAGGTCAGCTCAGTGAAACACTGAGCACAGGTAATTTATTAAATGCTAAGAGCACCTTTGGCTGTTTGCAGTTAAGGAAATGTAGAAAGGAGTAAACTGGTTTCTGCTGGGAATTCCAAATGGTAAGGACTGATGTGCTATAGAAACTTTCCATATAACAGGCAAATTTTATTGAGAAG